TAAAGGCCTTAGATGCTAAGCCTTCAAACTAACAAAAATAATAATAATAATAATAATAATAATAATAAATAAAATGTTTGCAAATTCCATATTTCAGAAAAACTGAGAGGAAATATATTCCCCTCTTGTTTGGAGATGTTAAAGAAAAAATGCACCAAATTAATTTGGGTGTGTACTTGCGAACGTGTGAATAGGCACGAGCCTCCTCTGGAACATTAAGAACAAGAATAATATATTAAAAAACAAGAAATAACTAAAATTTCAAAAGATAACCAGGGCTTGCAAAACGTTTACACTTTATCAGAAAATGATAAAGATAAATGCATAATAAACAGGGGGAGAATTTTAATGAAAAGTCTTTTTTTTTCACTTTAGAACAATGCCATTTAGTACAGAAATCCTTTTTATGTTATGGCAAAACTATATGACCCATTTTTATGTTGTTGTTTTTTCGTTGCTTTTTTCACCGATTTCGACTAATAAGTCATTTTTAATGCATTTTTCGCTTAGTTAATCGATTTTAATATCATTTTAATTTGCTTCAAACAATATTTACAAGGTGCAACAAATGTTCACTTCAGAATTCCTGAGTAACCTTTTCGATTTCTTCGCTCATATATTGTAATGTCAGCCATTGTGAGTACTATGTAATCCAAGGTTCCTGTCACGCCTATCGGTGCCATTGTCATTCGGAGAAATTCGCGATAAATAGGCAGAAATTATCTTTTAAAGAACAGACCAAACCACATGTCTGCAAGCAGAGTTAACTTGAACAAAAAGGAAGAAGCCTCGATTATATCAGAAACATACCCAACAGCTTGAGTTGTTCATCTGAAGTGGTTTTGATCAATATTTCTACGCCATTTTTCTTTGTTTTAGAGCATTTTAAACACATTTTATTGACAATTTTTGGCAATGTTTTGGGTCATTAAAATCCGCCCCCAGATAATAAGTATGGCACAGTGCACAAACTCTGTCACGAATCCTAAGGGAGAATTTACAAAGCATTACATTGATTTCCAACATTTATATAATTTATTAAGATATTAAACTATCATTTTTAGAACTTTGTCACCTAACTTTCTCTACTAGTTTTTCCTTCAGTACATCAGTCCACAGAAAAGGCCATTATTATTCTTTCCTGCATGAATCGCGCAATTATATAAAAAAAGCTTCCACAATTATGTAGTCAAAGCTTATTCTCAGAATGTTTTACTTTCAACAAAAGACATGTGATTTAATTTCAGGTCAAAGGAACCATGCTATCTGGTTTCCTTTTGCAGTAGCTACAGTGAGGCCTTTTTTACAGCATTTTCTTAAATCAACTAGTGGCACTAAAAAATCATGTACTTTCTCGTCCGTACTCTCAAGCAAAATCGCCACAAAATCTCCACAGGACTGGCCATCAATTTATCATGTAACAAGTAATAAATAGAAAAATAAAAATTATTTTCTACTTAGAGACTTTTATTTTCAAATATACATTTACAAGTTCATAATAAAACTATAAATAATATCCATATGTATTGTTAAATAACTGATTATTAACTCTAGCAGACTAGATAAAAAATAAGCAATTCAAAAATTATTTCAGACAAATATACACATATAATATATATTTATAACTACAATATTATTTGATATGTTTTATATCATTATTTGTGTAATCTATGTTTTACTGTCCAACAAACTTTATTTTCTTACATCAATGAAATAAGTGTCATGCCTATCATTTCAAAAATATTAGTCACTGAACAGTATCACAGCATGCCATATGTTGCAAAGCCTGAGACTTTGTAAGTCTAGAAAGCAGAAATCTGCAGAGAACATGTGACATGCAAATCTAATTATGAAGGGAACATGATATATTTCTTTACAAATTTAAACTACATAACAAGGAATGTGGCCAAAAATATTTTGCAACAGCTTCATTCTGCATTGCTTGGTATGTGACTATTACAAGTTCTTCCCAAGAAAATACATAGGACCATAACAAAATTCTACCACATTTTTATGAGTAGCACTTTTTAGTTTTACCACTCTCATATCTAATCACAATACATGAAGGCAGCACATGGAAGACAAAATTTTCAAATATTATGCATGATTGTCCTCTAATGGAAGACTTGAGATTGGAAGACTAGAATATCAATGTGGTGTGTTGTACACAATACATCAACTACCATTTTTTAAGAGCATTTCTTGATATCAGATTACTTAAGGAGCTTTCAGTTCCAATACAGTGCTATTATGAAAGCACATTAATAAAAGTGCACTTCAAAAGCATCACACATCATGAATAAAATTAATTCTCAAAGAGGAATGTCACTAGGTGCAATTCCTTTACATATGTCTAATTATTATTCAATACTACCATATTGCTCATACAGTACAATATTTTCAATTACAAGCTATTGCTATGGTTTACATGAAAAATTATGCTGCCTGTACTAATAATACGTACATGATTAGTAATTGAAATGAAGTATTGCCAGGACTTATTTTCCTCCTCAAGGATATCTAAACTTACATTTAAACAAAAGACAACCATGTAAAAAACTATGTTTAACAGTAATTTTTATAACTCAAATATCATTATCATTAACTGTACATATTATGAACAGCAGTAGTGCAAGTCAAAATCAAAATATAGACATCGGTGCCAAAATAGGAATTAAGGCGTTCAGTGAGAGAGGGAGCTAATGCACAAAGTCAAAGAACCCTCCTTTTACATGTATTCTGTATCCTCTTTTTATCTTATTTATTCTGTCAGTTTCATAATTGTATCATAATTCATTCAGCTATTATATCGATTTTTTAAACAGGTGATGTGCCCATTTTCTACAATTTCCGTGAGAGAGAGTATTAAGCTTCATTCATGAGTGCTGTTGATAATACCAACACTAGTACCAGAACATAAGATGTTTTAGTTATATCTCATATTCAATCCACCAAAAGAGTTGTATTACTGACATTCAAAGTAAAGTTTTTGGAATAAAAATATTCAAAAATATAGAAATATTAGACATTAGATGTTCAATACCAATTTGACATGTCAATTTCACAGACTTTCAGTGTCCCTTGTTTTGCAAGAGTACCGACTGATTACACAATGAAGCATGAAGGCGACTCTTTAGGAAACAAGGATCCCCGTAATGGCTGAGATGGCTCAGGGCAACAACTTTTCCTACTGCAGTGTCTCTGACAGGAAGGTTCTAAAGACCCGACAAATTTTCAAAACTAGGTAGATAGCTTGGTCATTTTCAACCACTGACTGGAGAAGTTTGATAGTTTTCCATTCATTATCCGAATAATACCAGCTGAATGCCAGAGTAGTGTCATAACAAATGGGCCACGGACAGCACACATTTGCTTCCCCAACCTTCTCCTATCATCTTACATATACACTATATAAGCCCCTATTATTTATATCGGGAGACGTGCTTGGAACTTGTCCCTGCTCAGACGTTGCTCCTCTGGCGGAGATAAGTGGAAGGTGAAAGCCGACATGTAGGTAGGCGCTGAATTTTATGTTCTAGTTGAGGACCACACCCCGGAATGTATCATGCACTACACTTATGGGACTAATGACTATAATAGTTGACATGCCCCAAAATAAAATAAACAATGGATCCATGTGTGAGAGAGCTCAAAGAAAAACGGCAAGAACGCATTCATGATGCAACGAAATGGAGTAGAGGAACAGTGAAGAAGAATGTTAGTGATGATGAAAACAGTACCCAAGGCAAACAACACCTTGGGTGTGACTGCGCATTGCATCTTGTCACGTTTAACTTCAATTGCGAACATCACACATTAAAGGACGATGAAAAACATGCTGTTTTTTCAATTTTTCAGAGTCAAGGACTTTGCAACTTTTGTTACAGATATCATAGAGTTGTCACTACAAGAAAATAATACAGTCAAACTTAAAGAATGTTGGAGTAATTTCAAAAATAATTACTCAATAGATTGTTGAAAAAAATTAGACTTTTCGAGCTGTGTATCATGTGAAAAATACTTCTAGAATTGCTAAATAATATTTTTCTAAATAAATAAGTTTATCTTAAACATAACAAAGAGAAAACATCCCCATTATTATCAAATACTTAATAAAACAACCCAAATGCAAATCTTAATTTATCTCAGTTCCATACCCTTATGGGTTAGCACCCTCTCTCATTGGATGCATCAATTGTTTGAAGAGATAATTCCCCAAAATAGTTATCTCTAATGCAGTTTCTTGATTCAAGTTTTTATTTTTAAGGTTAAGATCTTAAACATAAAAAAAAATTAATGGTTGAATTATTTTTTATTTGATTTAATTGAACAGAAAACAGATTGCGAGCAATGCAAACAATATAAATATTATGTTTATAGCTACAGATTTGAATTTTTTTGACAATATTGGACTAGTTAGAATTGTGGTGATGAAAATCAAATGTATCTTCATTGTTTTTGAACCAATATGCCTCTTTGGAATCCAAAACTTAGAAATTGCCAATGTGTGTTGTAAGTGCTCTGAGACAGCGAATCAAATGGGATATTTAAATAAAGAGCTGACTGAAACATAGGACCCCAAGAATTAGAAGTGTAAAGGGTTAATAGTACATTATGCAACTAATTTATAACAATATGTTTTAGTGCATGAGTAAAAGATTCATGTACTTGATCATTTCTTCAAGTGGAATAAAGTTACATTATAAATAAGTTAAATTTGCAATTTTGTTTTGTATGAGAGCATTATAAATCGATAATGAAGCGAAATTTAATTTTGAAGTTAATTTCAAAAGGAGTATTGAGCTGCAGATGTTACATGTGTCCTAAATCATTGTCAACTTTTAGAAAAATGCCAGCAACATTAGCCGAAATTGCTTAACTGTGCTCTGTGAAGACACGGAAGTTAAGCAATTCAATACACCACAGATTTCTGAACTGGTGACAGCCAAGGAACCCTGGTTATTAACGGCATCAAGTCCCTGGCCGAAGGGATAAAAGGCACTGACTGGCTGTGATGTGACAACACAAAAAGATAAAATAAGTTAATAAACAATGATTCCACATATGCTCAATGCTCAAGAAGGTCTAGGAAACATGTTGTGAAGTCACAATAAATTAAAAAAAAAATATGTTTACACATGTTGGGAGCTGCTAATTGCTTCTTTACAGCAATTGATCTATTATTTTTGCCACAACAAATTTTACGTCAGGTTGCACAAGAAAATCTTTAATTACAAACAAAGAGAAGACCTTCATACAAAGGAGTCAACATTTTGAAAATTGGTTGAAATATAAAGATAATATACAAAAGGTTAATGTGCTTTTTGCATTATTATCAGAGCAGGAAGCATAATCATATCTTCCAATTAATGCAGGCAATGCTGCTGAAAATCATGGCGTTTTGATATTGTTGGATTTTTTACGCTGATATTGTTGATTTTCATTGAGGGCATTGTAAGCAATTTACTTGACTCCATATATCACAATTTTCATCTGATAGACAATGACATCATTAAATTATATGTCATAACATGTGTTATGTCATAATATACTGTGATCAAAACAAATCACTCATAAAACTGCATTTTATGTAGTGTATGTTATATTGTCACTGGACATTTATTATACTGGTATTCAAACAAAATACTTTTGAATTCATTAGCTTCAGAAGTGTTTTTTGAAGAATTCTCTAACGTACTTCACAAACAACTTTTTCTTAATATGTACAGTTATAAAACAGAAATATGATAATTTTTAATCTAAAAAAACGTAATATGACCTATTGTTAATTTGTGATGAGAAAATATTGCTGATGTATGTCATGTACATTTAAACAATTTAATCATATCCATTGTTTAATGTTGCAAGTATAAATCCTTTTGCAAACAATTAATAATTGCAACTTTTTGTGCAAAGATAAAAAAGGGCAAACAGCTCCAAAATTAGTAATTACCTTCTGCAAAGTTCACACTATAACATTATTCTAAAGGTTGCCAAAGCACATGTATTTGACGTATGTAAATTCTTCAATACCATGATGAGAACCTTCTCGTCCTATTCCAGACTCTTTAATTCCTCCAAATGCAGCTTCTGCTGAGGATATAATACCTTCATTAATACCAACCATTCCTACTTCCAAATGCTTTGCTACTCTCCAAACTTGAGCAAGATCGTTACTATAGAAATAACCAGCTAACCCACGCCGGGTGTTATTTGCAATTTCAATTGCATCGGCTTCAGAATTGAACCTACAAAAAGAAAATAAGAATTATAAATGTTCTTAGTATTTATTAATTCTATTTTTATTTCATGAGACAGAACATTGAAATGGAAAAAAATCATCCATCGATCAAGAAAAAGGCAGAGGACATTAATTACTTGAAAAATCAGAACATGTCACAATGCTCTACTTACTTCACACAAACAACAACAGGACCAAATATTTCTTCTGTATAACATTTCATTTCAGGAGTAACATTAGTAATTAAAGTTGGTTCAAAAAATCTTTCACCAATGTGTGAAGCAATCTTTCCGCCATATAATAATTTGGCTCCCTTCTGAACAGCATCCTGAACAATGTCATCCACCTGCAAATATGATTAAAATAGTCACAAACTTTAAAAATATTTTTTTTTCTAAAAAAAAAAAATAAATCAGTCATATTTACAAAGAAACTAACTTTTTTTGCCTGAGTTTCATTTATAAGAGGACCCAAATTAGTTTTTGAGTCTGCACCTGAGCCCAAGACCAGCAATTGCATTTTTGATTTAATCTTCTCAAGAAAAGAATCGAAAATTGTGTCTTGGATTAAAAACCGATTTGCACTCACACAGGTCTGAAACAAAGAATTTTCTCTGTACACAGAAATAAATTGTACATTAGGAGAAAAAGAAAAAGGAGAAAAGAAAATGCATTTTCACAGTATTGAAGAGAAAAAAGTTTTACCATATCTAGTTACTTTCAATAATTTTTCTACTAATAATTGTTCTCTAATCCTCATGAGATCCAACAGAATCGTCATACAATATACAGAATCAAAACTAAAGGGCAGAAATGGTGGTGACACCTGTATTGTAATAGAATCGCCGGTTAAAAATAAAAGTTTTTTCCTTCATTTTATGAATGTCTAGTCGCATTAATTAAAACAAATAGTTCCTCTTCCAATTTCAGACATTCATACAAGTTGACAGACTCTTACCTTTTTCTTATTGCATCCCAACTTTATACATGAAAAAGGTAAGAGTCTGTCAACTTGTATACAAAAATGTAATACAAATGATACAACCGTAATAATGTATAATTGAATTATCTTCTTTTTGTGTGTGTGTGCATTTTTTAAGCAAGATGTCTGAAGATAGCTATAAGATGTAGCTGAAACGTTATGCTACCTACATGTAAAAAATTTAATTACAGGATGTTTATGTTTAATTAAACTCTGAATGTCTGAAATTTGAAGAGGAACTATTTGTTTTAATTAAAAATAAAAGTTTTGTCCAGTTCTTATTTTTACAAGTGTGATTAAAGGTCAAATGAATATTAATACATTAAAAATAAAGCATATTAATATAATAATAATAATAATAATAATAATATAGTAATAATATATTATAATAATAATATATTATAATAATAATTATTATTGTTGTTTTTATTAAAAATACTATACATTTCTACCAATAAGACAACCTTCAGACAATTTTCTCTTCTTCAAGATGAAGTTTACGTTTTTCTCAAGTTTTTATAGTTTTAGCATACATCTGTCCTATACAACGACCCTCAAATTATCAATGGTGGAAACAGCAATCCAATCTTTCAAAAAGAGTGGGTTTTCTAATCCTATGGATGAAATTGAGGGCAATTTCATATGGGAGACTGATGATGATGAGAAAATTTGCCTTGCTAAGTACAGAATGGGACCCATATGATGAACTTCTCATGATCATAGGGAAGGATATAGTTTGCGAACTACTTTCCTCAGATGAATGTTAAATTTATTTTTGTCTGGCCTACAAGACAACTTATATTTTGGGGGTAATTTTTAAAGATTCATCCATCATTGCATGTGCAAAAATATACAATAACAATTTACACAACATTTCAGGTGTGTAAATCATCAGGAATCTAAAATTTAAAACATGTCAACCTTTATAAAGTTGTTAAAATGTAATTTTAAGATTAAATGCATTAATATATAAAATTGCTTAAAAATGTGCAGATATAAACAATTGGAAACTTACCAATATTAATGCAATGAATGAAAACTTATTTGTACTATATGTACAACATAACCGATTCTAATATGTAAATATCAACTAGTAGTACAATATGTTAACAACTGTTAACCTTCGAGCATTCATGGGCACCTATCAACTCACTAGGTTGTCCCTCCTGCATTCAGACCCTCAATGTAGCGCTATCAGCTGAGAGTCAACGGTAGTCAGCACAGCAGGAAAATGCCTCCAACACCATTTGGCAGTGGGAAGGGAATGTAGTTTGGGAGAACAGTTTTTTCACGACTAACCGAATTATATTTCAATGCAAATTTAGTATTGCGATAAATATTGGTCATTCTTGTGTTCTCAAACATAGTGTTCATCATATTTCTCATTTTGATATTAAGACTTTCTGATATTAACCTGGATTTGGTCCTGGGTTCAATATCTATAATTTTAGCATTTTCAACATTTATACGATGTGAGAGGTCAACATTGTATTGTGTTATAGAATTTCGTCTCTCAAGCAGCTCATGGATGTTGTTTTTATGTTCATGTAACGTAGTTCTTACTTTTAGCTTGGTTTGACCTATATATTTCAAATTAATGTCCACACACCCAATTTCATATACCACATTCATGTGTCCATATTTATCAAGTGTCTTTACGATTTGGTTTAATACATTTTTTTATTTTCTATTTTAAGCAAAAGGTTCAAATCTGTTCTTCATTATCAATATTTTACAATTTTTAAAAACTATTGGATGGTATGCCTCAATAATATTGTTTTGAATTGTTTTCCCTTTGTTACTCTTAAGTGTGCAATTATCCATTTTTAGATTTTTGTCCTCTTATTAACAAACTTCTTAATAAAAACAACAGGATAATCATGTAACTTGAACATATTATAAACAGTTCTCAAATTCTGCAGTTTGGGATTTACATAAAATGTAAGATATATCCAAAAAATGTTTATACAAAAATAAATAATTATGTAATTGTGTGATTCGTTTAGTCCAGTAGACAATTTTTTTTGGCAAGTTAAAACAGCAGTTGAGCATGCAAAAGACCGCATTTTTCTGCAAAATGCAGTGTTCTTCCACCAGCAATATGAGCTAGAATGCTACTTGTTAAAGCTTCAAAGAATCAATCATCAAAGTATCGGTACTCGTCACTAAAAATAACATTGTCAGAATCGATACAAATTATGCTGAAAAGCAGATGAGAATATGTGTGTTGTACGAAGGTTGCCTTTTATGTTTCGGGATTTGGCAAACCTGGTGTTGCAATTGCCAGTTGCCAATTCAGAACGTTTTGACATACGAGCGCTATTTGTATTGTATACAGTAACTTAAAATATTCATCTTGGCCCAAAAATGGAATTCAATCGTGAACATTTTCGTGCGATTATTTTTTACAACTTTCGACGTGGATTAACTCAGCAACAGTGCATGGATGAACTTAATTCATTTTTGGCGATGAAGGTCCATCAAGGACCAGTGTTTATCGTGGATGGTGACTTAATCGTGGTCGTAGTTCACTCCAAGACGAATTTCGCGAAGGTCAGCCCAAAATCAGTAGTTTCAAAACCAGTGATGCTGTGGCTCGAGCTGATATTGCAAGATCGTCATGTGACCTACTCGTGAGATTGAGAACAACCTTAGGCATTAGTGGACCAGCAATACATTCAATATTGCATGTTAAATTTGACTGTCAAAAAAATTTTTTGGTGGTTCGCGTGGATCCCCACACAATTTGTCAATCGCTCAAAAAAAGGCTCGTGTCAATTGGTCGAAAGGAACTGATCAAAAAAATCCGATCGGCGTGCTGAAAACGACGTCTATGGCATCGTGACAGGTGATGGATGTGGATTTACGCTTATGACCCGAAAGTAAATAGCAGTCGGCTGTAATGGGGTGTTTCACAATGAGCAAAATCAACAAAAGTTGTTCGCGCAAAAGAAACCCTTCCAAACAGATGGTCGCTGTTTTTTTTCGAACAAAAACTGGACAACTGTGCTACCGTGCACTAGAACAAGCAGAAAAATCAATTCTGAGTGGTAAGCCAAACGATTTGTTTGCCAGCTGTCTTCCAAGAAATAGGAAAACCGCCGAAGAGGATCACTCTCACCAGACATTGCGAGCTCTCACACATCGGCTCAACAAAATGCATTTTTTGAAGCTCAGAGCATCGATTTGGATGAGTCATCCGCGCGTTTAGTCCTGGTTGGGACGCGAAATGACTTCTTTTATTCCGCGTAGTAAAAAACAACTGAGAGTCAACGTTTTTCGACAACTGAAGAAGTCGGTTGCTGCATTCAAATGCATGTTTTTGGAGTACCTCAATCAGAGTGGCAAAAGTGCTTCGAACATTGGTTCAAACGCATGCAAAAGTGTTAGATCTTCATGGGAATATTTTGAAAAACAATAAAGTGATTTTCGATGATTAATATTTGTTTTTGTTCTCTAATCCTGTAATATAAAAGGCAACCCTCGTATGTATGGGAATTAAGTCATTAAACTGATATGTGAAGCAGTACATTATTTGCCATGCTTGGCTGACAGTTACCTTATATCAGTGGTAATTTCTCAGGGGAGGAATAGGAGAATGTCCTCCTCTCACATTTTGTTCATTTGAATATAATTTTAAAACAATATTTTCTTTGATGTAAGATGGAATATGTTTGTTTTTTTAAAGTTAATATTTATCAGAAATTGTACGTGATTTGAGTTATAATCTTCACTTTTTAGGCAATGCGAAAATTCAAATCGCTTAGAGGAGGAATTCTCAGCGTTTCCTCTTCTCTTGCAGTAATGGCCCATGTGGCACAAAACTGCAGCCGCAAGAAGAACAAAAGTTTTTTTTAATGCAACAATACGAATACGGCATGGGGGAGGAGATCCTCCTGTAGAATGCCATCTATTGGAATTAAATAGGAAGAGACATATAATATCATCACACACCCATGGCAGCACCGTGGGCTGGCGGAAACTCAGGTGATACGGCAAATCGAACCAATAAGGGTGTGTGGTGTTGTGTGGTGTGCTGTGTGTTGTGTTGTATGTTGTGTTGTGTTGTATGTTGTGTTGTGTTGTGTTGTGTTGTGTTGTGTGGTGTGGTGTGGTGTGTTGTGTGGTGTTGTGTTGTGTTGTGTTTTGTGGTGTTTTGTGGTGTTTTGTGGTGTGGTGTGGTGTGTTGTGTTGTGAGGTGTGTCCCTCTCTCCCCCTCACTCCCTCCCTCTCTCTCCCTTTTCCAAACCCAAGGCAACGATTGGGATTGGAAGCTGACAAACTAGTGTCAATAATCCTACCACCATTTGGACTCGAACCTAGGGCCTCCTGGTCAGAGGGATTGTAGTGACATAAAATAATGCCCTACAAGGCAATGTACAATGCAATAACAAAACAAAGCATTTTGATACTCGGCCAGTGAAGAGGAAGTGTATTCCTCTTGTGCTCCCTTCACATGATTCGTGTGATAACAGGCAGCTGAATTCAGTGAAGGATCCAGAAGGGGGCCATAGCCCCCTACCCATAGGACTACAAGTTTCGTTTGTTACCTTCCTTTATTTAGCAAAATTGATTTAAATATTTATTTATGTTAGAATTATGTGTTTATTTAAAAAATAATGATATATCAGAACCAAAAATGTCACATTACTAACACACATTGCATGGTGCAAGTTTTGTTCACTACACATCTCTAAACATCTGTTTTCACAATATTTATTAGCCTCACACTATTCAGACATGTGAAAACTTGCCATTGTTATTATACCAAATTTCATATTTTACCAAAAAAGTAAAAAAGCCACATAGATTCACTGTAGGTAAACTTTGGCCAAATTATTTCCCTGCATGCCACATAGATTGCCTAGAAGTACACTTTAGGTAAAATCTACCCATGCTGTAGATGGAGGATTTTATTACATGAAATGATATAAATAAACCAATACCTGACCACAATTTCGAAATTTTGATGCCATTGCTCCTTCAACTGCCTTGTCCACATCTGCACTGCTAAATACGATAAATGGAGCATTCCCTCCTAGCTCCAAACCGACACGTTTCACTCCAGAAGCACATTGTTGGTACAAAAGTTTTCCTACTTCAGTTGAACCTGCAAGAAATCAAAGACCAGAAATCAAATTTTATTTTATTTGATGTGTTAAAAAACACTGTAATTAACACAAATTATGCAATTGTCAATTTATTCTTTTATGAAATAATCAGAATGACAATGACAAAACCAACCTAATAAGCAATAGGTCTGCATAATCAAAGAGAAATAACAAAGCGTATTAAAAGAAAATAAGAAAGGACAATTGCTATTTGACAAAATTTCTCACAAACAGCTCCAAATTGTTTCTTGAAATTTTCTTCACTTATATAATATGACACATTACAAAATATGGTGGTAATCACATTTTCGGGTATTGCTAATTTTTTTGAAAATTTCAAAAAGTAATTTAAAACTACAAAATTGTAGTCAGAAATTTTTGATCCAGACAAAGTAGGTTGTACAAAATTAGCTCTTCGAAAGAGGTCATTAAAAAAAAGTAGTTTTTGCGTTCACCCGAAATGGGACCTGCGCCATTTATAACCGTAAATTAGTCTATTCCAGAAAAATAACAAAATTTGGAGGCGTTTTTGAGAAAATATTTTTTTAATTGACTATATTTTAAGGAAACTTACGCAAGACCTACCCAGATTTTTGAAAAATTGTAGATGACCTTAAAAGATCCAACTATGTAGATATAAAAAAACTAGTGGTGCTAAAACAGAACATATTTTATCGCCCACAGTAACAGGACAGTTACGGTAAGTAATATTATACCGCAATTTCTGTCCATATCAAAACATTTCAGTGAATGGGCGATGGTAACAATGGGAGCATGCAGATTTGCGGCAATGGGGGATGGCAACAATGGACGCATTGATACAATTTCCTTATCAATTCTTGCCATAAATGGAACTGTTCTTCAGTTTTCATTGTTACGGCTTTTATGAAACTTCTTTTAAGGCATTCTTTCTTAAACACTATTGCTTCTGATACATAAGTTTATTTTTCACCGTGTCTCCACGTGCCTTTCAAGTTCATTCTTAAATTTTTCATTTTCTTTTAAATGAAGATTAAAACCAAACAAATTCATAATTAGTCCCTTCGTAATTAACCTTTTCAAACATAAATTAAAGTTTAGATGACTTGGAAAGTAGTAATATAACAAAACATTACCTTATAAATTACTTTATTTTAGTAATGATGAGCATGTATTTAAATTACCACAGAACTTCAATTTGAACACTTATGTATATAATAATATTAAGATTATATCAGTAAGAGAATCTTTATTTAATCAATTGTGTATTTTATTGGGAGGTGTATCCTATGTAAAATTATATCAGCATATTTGAGAACTAATCCTAAACAGAGACAAAACAATGACAATGCCCTTCCACAACTCCCACTCAACACAACAATACTCACCAAATTTAACATTAGAGAGCAACATCACCACACAAGCACAGAAAACAAAATTTCTCAGAATTACAATACAATACAACCTGAAATGGAACTCGTACTTAGAAGATATTAATTCAAAATTGAGCAAAATTAATTATGAATTTAGAATAATTACACAAAACAACACCATTGAAACAGTCTGAACAGTGTACTATGCAAATGTGCACTCTATTCTCAAATACGGAATAATAATCTGGGGCCAAGCAAACATTCAAAATACAAAATAGAATCATCTGGACAATAACAAATACAAAAAGAACAGAGTCCTGCAGACCTCGATTCAAAAACCTCAACATACTCACACTGCCTTGTATATTCATGTAGGAAGTTCTCATGTTCGTAAAGAAAAATCTAATTCATGACACACCTTATAAATTTAACTCATGCTTACACTCTTACAACACATGGCAAGCATGTAACCTTTATCAACCATTGTGCACAAGCACACTATAACAAAAGGGTACATTCGCTATAGGAATACAATTCTTCAAAAAATTACCAATACATATGAGAAACTTAACAGGATTACACAACTCCAAAAATAAACTTGAACACTTTCTCGGGCAAACACTTTTTATAGTGTTCAGAAATACCTCGGTAACTAAGATGTGCAATCTGCTTTCAGGTGCTACAGTATGACTAGGTGTAGAAATAGAAAAAAACCTGCCAAAATCTGCCTCCTGATGTTCACCATTTCAAGATCTAAACAATGAATGTAATAATGTTAAATTTTAAATAGTTAACATAATTGATACCATGTATTATTATTATTATTATTTATTATTATTATTATTATTATTATTATTATTATTATTATTTTTATTATAATGATGGAGGGGGAAATCTTTTATAGATACCGGCTGATGACGGTTATGTCGGACTCGGATATGGTATACTGACTAAAACCTAATGTTCTTTTCTTCAGAGCCTTGATTTCTTCCACGTGGAAACCGTCGTGTCGACAGAGCATCTTCCTCTCAGATAATCATCCACCATCCGCAACAGGTTCTCTGGAACCTTTTTCTTGACTAGTGCTCCGATTACATGCTTCCATGTGACAGAATTGAAAGCATTCTTTATATTGATAGCCACTGACGCGCAGAAGCCCTTTCTCTTACCCATCCATCTCCTAGCGGCTTTCGCGATACGCGTTACTTCCAATAAGTCTAATCTGTAGTTTATGCGCCCTTCCTAAATCCTGATTGCAGGCTAGGCGTTTTCCCAAAACCATATGTTCTTCCATAGTCTCTAGGAGACATAGAGGTCGAAAAGACGTTTGGTCTACCGGTTTATTCCCATGAAGTAGAATAAGCTTCTGTGTCTTCCAGTTAGTACATTAGATACCATGTTTCAAAGGTCATGTTTTAAAGGTACCATGTTTTAAAGGTCTGCAAAAGGCACTCCGGATACTCCTTAGCCACAATGAGAAGTATTTCATTGGGGATTCCGTCAGCGACTGGCGCTTTATTATTTTTTAACTTACTAGCCATTTTTTTTGTAGTTCCTCCTTGGTGAAGAAGTAGCTGCTTCAAAAGAGGTGCTCGGCTTCGCTCCGATCCACCGATCACGGGTTGGGAAAAGGACCCGAATAATTTCCTTCAACCTTACGGGGTCCACCAACCCTAATGTCTTCCTGTCCATACGTTCATACCAAGATTTTTGTCTACAATTTTGTAGTTTATATCCCACGGGTAATCTTCGATCCCCTCCAGTAACCCCCTTCAGCATTTGGCTTTACTCTTCTTTATCACCTTTTTGTCCAGTCTTTGCGTAGTTCTATATTTCTCTCTTAGGCACATGTTTCTGGCCCTAGTGGCCAGCATCTTCGCCTTAATGCATTCTTTCCGTACACGCGTTTCCTTAACCGGGTGAATAATTAAGGAGGCAGCCCCTCGTTGGAACGTACACTCCTCCCCCTTACTGAGGATGACCAAGTCATTTCTTGCAACAAATACGCAGACCACAGATCCTCACCTGACTGACCTTTTCCCCACATTCTCGGGACTTGCTGTTGAAATCTCCACCCATTATGACTTGCCCTTTTGCCATCCTTATACTGGATTTCAGTTTGTCTCTACACGTCTTGAATTGCTCAAATTCAACCTGTCCCTCATACAGAGGGAAATAACAGCTATACAAGATCATACACTTCCACCCAAACGAACCCAAATTCAGTTCTCTGATATGCCTGTACCCGTATCTTATTATTGTGTATTATAATTTCTGCCCTTCTTGAGGAATCCTGGTACACTATAGCTGATTCAGATGTGTCATTTTGTAACAAGTATCACATCTATCGTTCTTTCGGCAGCAACCTGCCATAAAGGTCTTGTGCTATCTTGGTCTTTCTCAAATTTATTTGCAGGAACTTAAGCAGTGTGGGTTACCTTTCTGTTACGATATATTATAAAAGAAGCACATCCGTTGCTTCCTCAGAAATTATCGTCCGTCATGTTGTCTTTACAGAGAGTACATGTGCCTTTCCTCTGCATTTCTTTGCCACATGTCCCTCTTGACCACACCTATAGCATATTATGTTTGTTACCTTACACTAAGTTGATATACGGCCAAAATGTAGGCTCCTGTAACACCTTACTACCGGCGGACGCTCTCTGATAATACAGTTAATCCGATTTTAATTTTACTCATTTTCAGAAGTTGTTGGGCTTACCCTTAAGGCAGTGTTATATTAGCAGTCAGCGAATCTCCGTACCTTCTTCGCATCCTACAATGTTCTATAACTGTTTTCCAAGTATATTTAAACGTCAAGAGACAGCTTCCTTTGCTTCCTCAACCATAACAGTTTCATCTAAGTCACTAACTTCCATACGTTTTCCTCTTAAGGGTGTTCACCTTAGCTTGATTCCCGACTACCTTAGTTAGGGCTTCACTGAGTGAGCCTACGTTCCCTTCCTTATTAAGTACAATAAAGAGTTCATTTTTCAGCGTCCTGCGGATTCTCAGCGTCCACTCCATGGTCTTTAGGGCCAACCCTTTCTTACAATATCTTTAGAATTTCAGAATAGTTATCTCCTCCCTTGGCTGCCTCATTTATCGCCTGTCCCTTGGATAAACCTACAGCATCCCCCCTTTTTCTTTCTTCCTGTGTTCCTTAGGTACAATCCATTCTCCTGAACTGACCCTCGATTCTCCCTTTTCTATTTTTTTGTCTCCTCTTTCTTGTCATATCTACTCGTCTCCAAGGGTAGGCTAGTAGCTTCTCTTTTCTTATTTCCCTGTCTTGACTCATAATGCTTTTCATGCCCACTGTATTTATCAGCGGGAGTCTGATTCTTGGTCACCTTACTGTTTTTCTCCTTGCATTCTACCAGTTGGCACATTAACCATCCGCGTCATCCTTTATAGACAGGCATTTGTTTGATCGTGCCTACTCCTTCCATAATCTTAACAAAAGTTTTCTTCACAACCGTGGGGTTGTTCTTAAACACTGTGCTCCCCACTTCTCTTAGATTTTTCTCCACGCTTTCGATTATTATCAACGGTGCTATCACCAGTTGTTCCATGCCTTTGCATTTCTTGAGCAGATCTTCGTGAATTCCGGCTTTTGTCCAGCACCGTTCTTCTCTTGTCCAATC